TTTATTCATATATGATAGGAGGAAACAAATATTCCAAGCTCTTATAAGAATAATTTAAAAGAAACAAGAAGGGACAAAAATCAATTTTTAAATGGATTTGATAAAAAGTTTAAGAAAGTTTGCTGAATATGTTTTTGTTACAAAGCTTAAAAAACCTGATTGTTGTAGTGGTTTACCGATCTATTGTTGGACCGGTAATGACTATGTTCACGATGAACTGAAGAATAGCTTTTAATCTTATGCAGAATTTTTCCTCGAAGTATAGCAGTAAATGTCATATATTTAGTCTTTACAACAATATAACCCTAAATTCATAGCTTTATTAGCACAACGAGTAGAACTCGGAAAGAAATGCCTGAGTATGGGATTAAGTAGTTGTAATTAAAATCACAGAGCCTCAACTCTATTTACACAATAGGCAATTTTTCAAATCAATTCAAGCTTTCTTAGATTCACTTGAGATTTAGGGTAATTTTTCAAACACAGGCAACCAGTATCAGTCAAAAACAAAAAGACAGCCAAAAATGGTAAACCCTTAAAACAGCGAGTCAGACAACTTCACTATAAGCGTTTACTAGATATCATTTCAGTAGCCTGCCGAATGCAATGGCAAAAAAGGAACCTTTCAATATTAAATTTTCCATTACATTAATTTAATTGAGGCAAGGTTGCTTCGCCTGGAAGATCACGCTCTTCGCGCCTCATCATTCGCGCCTCTATGGCTCTAGTCAAGCCTAGGGTGCTAAGGAGGTAATAAGGAGAAGTAAAATTTGTAGCCTAGCATAGGTATATCGAATGTTCTTACGGAATATGTATCAAGACGAAGAATAAACCAAGACTTCTTAACACTCTTTCTATACCGAGTCATTGTCAGTACAATGAAGAATACGTTACAAATGCTACACCTCTGAAAAAAGCAGGTTCTACTAAATCAGCAGGTTTAAACAGATATAAAAGACAGATTGGGAAAAATATTTGACAAAACTTTGAATATTATTTTAAAGTAAGGACTAAGGAAAATGAATATCAATGCTAACAAAAAATATGTCTACAAATGTATTTGCAGATAGAAAGAAAAAAATAAGCAAATAACAGCTCTATGTAAAATGAAAAATAAAAAAGTTACCACCAATCGTAAAATCAACTAAAAATTACCATTTAGTAGTCTGCTGGTATGAAAAATATAAAATGAAGAGATGGCAAGTGCATTTTCATAAATTACTATTCAAATAAATGCATACATTATTGTAAGCTCTTAATTAAATTAAAGAAAATTATAAACGTATCAAGATGTATGATAAGTAATTAGAATTTCTACGGATATTTATGCCCTAAAATATTAATTGGAAACTCACATCCGAAGGCTCAATATCGAAACAATCCGCTATTTTCTGGTAAAGTTCTCGAATATTAGTAAAATCCGAAACAAGACCAGTAGGACTCCCATGGGCAAGCTGACATTGAAATGGCTTCAGCCGAGTCGATGATTTTTTTACAGACTTTCTTGGATTAGCAGATTTCAAACTAGATTGAGGCAAAGAATTTCTATATGTCGATGCGTTTTGGGTTCTATATGCATCTTCAGGTGAAGAAGGAGTAGAATCATAAATAGATCCTCCACGCGATTTTTGCGGAGAAAAGCTTTTCTTTTTTTTGATGGAAAAAATGGGCATCACGGATAATCAACAAGTGATTCAAATCCGCGCAATAAACTTTAATCTATTTTGTGATAAGATATAACCAAATAAATTAGTTAGTATGAATACGCTTTCATGTGAATTTATTTAATTATTAGTTAAAAAAAAGGTTTTGCAAAAATTGTAAGTTGAATTTGTTTATAGTTTTATGATTAAGGCAAAAATTATCTTATATTTTATTATACTATTGCGAA